GAGAGGGAGAGGGAGAGGGAGAGGGAGAGGGAGAGGGAGAGGAGAGACTGGCAATAGCTGGCCTTTGAAACCTCCAAGCCTGCTTGCCTTGAGTGACACTCCTTCTCTAACTAGGCCACACCTCCTAATCCTTCTGAATAGTTCCACCAACCGGAGACCATGCATTCAGATACACCAGCCATTCTCATTCAAACCACCACATTATGCTAACGATATTTTTGCAGTTTGGGTGGGACTTTCTTTTAAATGCAAGAACCACTCACAGACAAGGGGAGTGTGTTCTCTGCTAATTTAGACAGGTGGATGTGGGCTTAGAATGGGAAGATTTACAAGGCAAGACTCAAAAAGGACAACAGGCAGGAGGTGATATTATTACCCTTGTGTTCACATTCCCATGGGATAAATATGGGAGGGATGCATTTGCATGGAAGGTAAATTTATCCACGGCATTTTCTCTTGGAACATGGTAACTATTAAAAACAATCTACAAGAAAAGCAATTCAGTAGGAAATGGTGGTAAGCTGTCCTCAGGTCTTTAAAAAAAAAAAATACGTGCTTTAAGGAGAAGTGGAGTGAGTTATTTTCTCCAGAGGCATGACATGAAAGTTGAACGGCCAGCATGTCTGCTATTTGGAGGACCTGGGATGGTTGAACGTTAAGTGGGATCAGTGAGAGGAGACAGACAAGCTGAAGAAGAGAGGCCATTGGTGGCTAACAAGGGCGTGTGACCAGAGTGTCCTCCCGCAATTGGGCCAACATGGGGATAAAGCTGCCAGGGATAACGCTTCTGGTTGTCCAGAGTTTGCAAATCAGAGCACTAGACAGCCCGTCTCACTGAGTGTCCTTTCTGTAGGAAATACCAAACAAAAGACCCCCTTGGCCTCACAGTGCGAGCCAAAGACCGGAAAATTGATGGCTGCCTTCTGTAATCACACTGCGCGACCATCCCCCAGACTCAGAGGTGCATCCTTAGTTGAAAACCATTATAACCTTGACGGGGGCAAACTCAGGCAAGGCCTAGCTCAAGGCTAGGGGCTGGTCTCTAGCATGCTGTGCAACCGTGACGCCATATTTGATGTATAGGAACTGTGGTGGTTTGAAAGAAAGTGGCCCCCCCAAGAGAGAGGCACTACTGGGAGGTGTGTTTTTGTGGGAGTAGGTGTGGCCTTGCTGGAGGATGTGTGTCACTGTGGAGGTGGGCTTTAAGGTCCCATAGATGCTCAAGCCACATCCACTGAGTCAGACTGTTGCTTGTAGATTCAGATGCAGAACTCTCAGCTCCTTCTCCAGCACCATGTCTGCCTGCACGCCGACATGCTCCCCGTCATGATGATAATGGACAGAACCTCTGAAGCTGTAAGCAAGCCACCACAATGAAATGTTTTCTTTATAAGAGTTGCCATGGTCATAGTGTCTCTTCACAGCGACAGGAACCCTAACACAGGAACCAAAGTTACCGGTACTTCTAAAGGATCCACCAACATCTGAATGTCCTCTACTGAGTGGCACTTGAGCAGAACCAGATTGCCAGCCCTTTCCCTGCCTGGGACCTGGTTTCTCTTACATACTTGCTCTATACAGTAGTTTTCGACCACCCTGGGATTAGCCCAGATCACATCAGCACCCCTAAACAGTCAGAAGCACCTGACTTTGTGCATCAGAGCCATGTGCTTTTAGTTACTAAATTCCTGTCTCTAGGGCCTTCAGTCTAGGTTTGGTTTGGCTGGCTTTTGTCTTACTCAGACCTACCCCGAAGCCTCAGAGAGCATTTTCTACAGGTCTGCAATATCAACACACCTCAAGTGAACCATTCAACTTCAACTTGCCATGGAGAAAAGGGAGCCATGTTCTCTTTGCCCATAAGCCATGTGCCCCAGGGCTGGGGAGAATTTGTCTCTACAGAATATCAAATAGGAAGATGTCATCATGTCAAACCAGTTGTTTGACATCACATGGTCCAAGGACAGACATATGAGAAAATAGATGGTGAGCAAAAGAAAGAGGTCAAACATTTGTGTGAACTGTTGATCCTGTTTGGAGCCTAATGTCTTTGGGAGGCACAAGGTGTGTTAAAAACTAGGCATGGAAGTTAGGGAACCTGCAGAAGATGAGGAGGAAGGATTCTAGGAGCCAGAGGCGTCAAGGACACTATGAGAACAGGGCTCACAGAATCAGCTAAACAGGGCTCATAGGGGCTCACAGAGACTGATGCGATAATCATGGAGCCTGTATGGGTCTGAGCTAGGTCCTCTGCTTACATGTTACAGTTGTATAGCTTGGTGTCCTTGTGGGACCCCTAATAGTGGGAGTAGGGATGTCTCTGACTCTTTTGCCTGTGCTTGGGACCCTTTTCCTCCTACTGGGTTGCCTCATCCAGCCCTGATATGAAGGTTTGTGCCTAGCCTTATTGTAATTTGCTACACTGTGTTCAGTTGATATCCCTGGGAGGCCTGCTCTTTTCCTTCCTTCCTTCCTTCCTTCCTTCCTTCCTTCCTTCCTTCCTTCCTTCCTTCCTTCTTTCTTTTTTAAGAGAAACAGAGGAGGAGTGGATCTAGGGCAAAGGGAGGTGGGGGACTGGGAGGAGTGGAGGTAGGACACACACACACACACACACACACACACACACACACACACACACCAAAACAAAACACCCCCCTGTAGTCAGAAAGTTTCTCTCCAGTCCCACCCGGCCCGCAGTCCCACAGCTGCTTATAAAATAATCACCCAGAAGCTTATAATTATAACTGCTTGGCCATTAGCTCAGGCTTATTACTGACTAGCTCTTAACTTATATTAACCCATAATTCTTATCTATGTTTGACCATGTAGCTTGGTACCTTTTCTCAGTTCTGGCTTGTCATCTTGCTTCCTCCGTGTCTGGCTGGCAACTCCTGACTCTGCTCTTCCTCTTCCCAGAATTCTCCTAGTCTGCTTGCCCTGTCTGTACTTCCTGCCTGGCTACTGGCCCATCAGCGTTTTATTAAACCAGTGTACAAAAGCATTATCCCACAGCATTTTCCCTTTTCTGCTTAAACAAAAGGAAGGTTTTAACTTTAACACCCCCTAAAACAAAATAAAAACAAAACCCCCAAAACCTCCAAAAAAAGCAAAACAAAACAGAACAGTTAGGCCTTGTCTGACCAGTTTGCCCTGATGCTGGTTACAAATTATTTACTTTATTGTGCAAATTTGAAGCCTTGACAGTTTTCTCTCTTTCTACCAATAACATAGTTTGGAAAATTATGATAAATATTGTGTCCTGTGCCTAGAGAAAAACGTATAACATTATTTTATCAGTGTAGTTCTTAAATATTGTTGTTGTTAAATATGTAAAAATGTATGTAATATGTAAAAAATATGTAAAAATATTGTTAAACATGTTGTTCTTAAATATGTAATCAAATGTTAAGCGAATGCTAAAGGAAACAGCAGAGGAGCAGTTCCCGAGGGCTGGGTGGCTTATGCGTGTCCCTGACTATATGGCCCACGGCCACATTCTATGGAAGAGAAAACTGAGGTTCAGGTAGGATGAGTAACCCAACCCATCCAGGGGGCATCAGTTCTTAATAATCTGTTATATTGCTCCCAAATATTAAAATAACAACAACAGAGAGGCTCACATCAGCCTGCCTATTGTTAGCCTCTGTGTGTGATTTTTGTCTTTTAGTTTTGTTCTGTTAAACAGAAATACCAGAGCAAAGCCTTGGCACCAAGACATCGTCTTGAATGATGCCAGAGAGTGAATAATCTTGGAGCAGGGTCTCCAGGGCCAAAAGACTCTGGTGGAGAGTGGGGTGTTCAGAAGAAGCATGGCTTCTGGGTGCTGTGTGAGGCCTTGGAAGATTGTGGCCCAGCCAAGGGCTGTCGGGCAAGTGCATTCTCATCCCGGAGCAGGGTCAGTGACAGGCCATGGTGGCTCTCAGGAGCGCCACATGTTCGTTAACTGTTGGAGAGGCAGGATGCAGCTGTGACTCTTAGCCACGACATGATGTGACCCGCAACTCCAAACCTTCCCAGGCGAACACTGTTCAGGCTCCAGGGGTGGCGTCTCCATTTGTCCCCAGTGCTGTGTCCCAGTGGAGAGTGGCTGTGCTCTGTGTCAGGAAGTCTTAATGGACTGTGAAGCCACAGGTATCGGAATGTCATTGAGACTAAATGCAAGGAGTGTAGCCGTGACAGAGCGCTGAGGTGGGGGAATCCACAAAAGCAAACAGAAGGTGTTAGTTACTCTCCTTGTTGCCATGACAACATGCTAGACTTAAGCAGATTAAGGGAGAAAGGATTGACTTCGGCTTATGGTTCCAGAGAAATGTCAGTCCATCATGGCAGGGAAGGCGTGGCCAGAGGGACAGGAGAAAACCTTCCGCGCAGGATTAGGAGGAAGGGGTGGTGTAGTCTACAGAGGCCCGACCTTAGGGGTCTACTTGCATCAGTATAACCTCATCTCCTAAAGGTGCCTCTGTGTGGGGAGCAAGAACTCAAAATGAGGACCAAAAAACAGCCCCACTGTGTGGGGAGTAAACACCCAAAATATGGACCTCGAACAGTCCCACTGTGCGTAGAACAGGCACTAAAACAGGGATCTGGGACCGGAGGCGTTCCGGATTCAAACCTGTGACCTGGGGAAATATCTCTCCCAGGTGTGAGTAATTCTTTAGCTTCTTGACAACTGTACAGAAGTCCTGGATTAGTTACTTTTCTCAGCGCCGTGGCTATAAGCACAATGGCTCCTGTGCAGGTCAAGGACAATGGTTCCTGTGCAGGTCAAGGACAATGGTTCCCGTGCAGGTCAAGGAGACACAGTCCTCACTGTGGGGAAGGCACGGAGGCTGGGGTGTGAGGGGACTGTTCACACCACATCCTTAGAGAGCAGACAGAGATGA